TGTATCCAGATGTCTCCTATTGTCTAATATTTTAAAAGTTTGTTCCAGTCAGGATCCACACAATTTCCATACATTACAGTTGGTTTGATATGTCTCTTAATCGGTGTGCATGTCTTAAGGTTTTGAAAGGTATCTTCACGTGGCCCTCAGAAATAGCAGACAGGCAAAGAAAGAGGAGCTAACTGAAGAGAAAGCATGATTAGAAGGGTCAGGAGGAAAGCCCTGAGACACACAAAGGCCTTCAAAGGCAAAATAAGAAAGGGAATTTGAGTGGGGTGTGGTCAGCAATGTCAGATGCTAAAGAGAGCTCAGGATGGGGCAAAAAGAAGCCTTTGGATTTAGGGGTCGCTGGGGACTTAGGTGAGAAGCCATTTCAGGAAAGCAGTGGAGTAGAAATCAGATTACAGTAGCTAGAGGAGAAGAATCTGAGATAAAGAGTACTCTATTTTTGCTAGTTTCTCATCAGTAAGTTTACCAGTGAAAAAGAAAAGCGACAGTAGCCTTTAGGGGATCCAGTACTAAGGGAAGGGACTTTTGTTGCTTTTGTTATAAAGGTAGGAAATTTTTGAGTTTGTTTGGGTAGAAAGAAGAGATGGAAGAGAAGAGAAGGAAAGTGGGAATGGGATCAAGAGCGCAGATTAGCTTGGAAAAGGTAGAAGCAGAGTTTCCGCTGAGTATGGTGGGAAGGAAGTAATAGAGACAGGAAAGCTTGGGAATTTGAAGGTGCAGGAAGATATATCTATGCCGCTCTCCTTACTGAAAGTAAACCAGACCCTCCCAGGCTACTACTAGGAGGAGAATCTTTTGGTAGCAGTGCTACCGACCCTGACTCATTCCCCCGAGATTGCTGCTCCCTTTCCAGCTCCCTCCTCAGTAACTGCCACCACTGCCACACTGGGCTGGGCCGGGGCTCCAGAAACCTGCATTCACCCAAATGCCCTGACCCAGTACCTAAATGGGGGCATTTCCTGAAGCCAGTGGACAGGAGAGACAGGGAGGGCTTCCCAGGGGAGGTGCTGTCTAAGACCTGAGGAGGAGAAGGTGTTGGCAAGGCAAAGGGAGCTCTAGTTGTGGAGTAGGCGAGTGCGTTCTAGGCAGAAGGAACAGCACGTGCAGAGCCCCAGACACATTTGGGACTGCAAGTGGTCAGTACACTGGGTGTAGAGCTCCAGGCGAGTGTTAAGAGAGGAAGTAGAAGTTTTAAACCAGGGCAAGATCGTGAAAGGTCTTACAGACCATGCTGACGAATTTAAACTTTATTCAGAGGCCACGTGGGGTCGGGGGTGGGGGGGGATTGAAAGGTTTTAAATGGGGAAGTAATGGGCCAACCAACAAGGCATGCTTCTCTCTGACACAGTGTCTGTAGTCCTAGCCATTCATGTTGCAAGTGCCCCCTACTCCCAGCTGGGAGAGAACCAGCCGCCTGTCTGAGTGTTTGCCAAGGTCGTGGACTCCCCTGAGGACATACAGCCAAGGAAACTACACCTCCAGAAGCCTCGAACTTCTCTTGTTTTTCAACACAGCCTAACCAAAGACTCTAGTAACCACTGAAGAGCTCTAACTGGTGTGGAAGCCAGGAGTGGTCCAGCCCTCCGCATTTTAGTGATGGGTTCTAGGAGAAAATATGACTGCTTTTTCTCATTTATTTCAGGGCAAAGGGAAATGATGTGACTGTGCTGTGATATTAGGAAATCACATCAACACAGTGTGGTCTGTGATTCTAAATGTGTTGCCAGATTGAGAGGGAGACTACAGAGACCGGAAGAAGGTACAGATCTAGGTCAGACTGTGGTTTGGGAGCCAATCAGAGGTGCAGTTCAAAGGACAATTTTTAATTATTACTAGTGATGCTTCTTAGTGATTGCAAATGCACTGTGAACATAGGCTGCTTTTAGAGCTATGGCAGGACACTCACAAAGAGACATCCATCTCACCATCTGATCCGGAGAATGACTTCAGTCAAGTGAAAAGCCACTCAGGCAAGTGTGGGAAGACGTGTCCAGAGGTCAGAGAATAAGGACTAGAGGTTTCGCAGTAAATGCCAGACTACTGCCTAAGAGCAGTCACTACCTGCCACAAGTTTCAAATACTGAGACATGGTCAGCCTCTCTGAGCCTTAGTTCTCCATCAGTAAAATGATAGCCATGTACCAGATGATCTTTTAGATGTCTTCTAAGCCCCAAATTCTATGATCTTATGATTTTATAATTCTAAATTCATTTGACTTAGTTCATAGACCGGATCCAAATGTATTCTTTCCTTATCTTAAGGCTCTCTTGTCTCAAATCAACTCAGGCAAACTAACTAATAGGGCAAAAAATGTTGAATTATAGGGATGGGACTGAGGCAAGGTTAGGAGGGAAGCAATTTCATTTGACACTAACTGAAATTGGGTGTTTCTATCTATATTCGCTCATCTTCTAGAGAAGAGAAACCCTGGGAAGGGCTGGTGACCTGAGTTTTCTTTAGCTTGTTAGGAAAGTTAAGAGCCAATGGCTTGTAAGTGGCCAGAATGTTGTGACGGTCCAAGAGAAAACTGAAAACAACTTTGTGTTCTTGTTTAGGGTGGTTCTATTAATGCCACACATTAGATATCCAGCAAGTAGAATGGACTTCAAAGAGCTCTTAGAAAATGTCTGAATGTTTGGGGGAATTGAGGATTTTGTTAAAGGCTATCTAAATGGCCTGTCAATAGAATGTATCAACAATGTACTGTTTCTTCCTCTATACCTCTATCAACTTTTTTTTAGGAACGCAGATAATAAATCAATACATTCTTGTTATTAAAATAACCTGAAATAATACAGAAGTATACAGCTGTGGAAGATAGCTCTCTTCATCACTACGCCTCCTCTCTGCCCCATCTCTCTTTGGAGGTACCCACCATCACCATTTGGTATCCTTTCATTTCTTTTTTCCTGCCACCTCCTCAGTATTTCAGCACACCTTCCCTCTAAATACCCAATCCTTGGAGACCAGTGATAAGAAGAGGACAAGAAACAATGAAAAGTTTAGAAATTTCTACATCCACTAACCAACTTGGTGCCAGTGGTCTGAAAAGAAAGAAAAATACAAAAAATCATTCCCTTGAGGTGATATCGTGTACATGCTTTTAGATTCTAACCTAGTCTACAACCTGAATATTGCCAGGATGTTGGCAAAAACTCCTGGAAGAAGAAAGTACCAAACTGGTTAACTTTATCATTCCCATGGGAGGTATTTCTCTAAAATGATGACTTTGTGGGTAACCAATCCCAGAAAAATTTTAAAGGAAGTTGTTTCAAAACTGTTGTGTTGACAAAGAGATGATAAAGAGTATATATGCATGATTAGGGAATGACTAAAATCTGGGGAAAAGTGTGTCTACTTACTATATCTATGCTTAAACTTGACAGAGAGACATGTAACTGTGGGCAGAGATTAAGCTTCTGGGTGGTGTTATCAACATGGCATTGTTTCAGGCAGAAAAATAAACGACATAATCCACAGTGGTCACCAAACCAATGTATTTGGTAGACACCACAGTTCTAGAAAATGAACTCTCTATGAGGCAGGAACCACATCCTGCTAGTCTTCAAAACGCTTTTCTCTGTTTTCCTATTAAGCATTTGCTGATAATCCTGAGAGTCTGTGCATTGACTGTAATCAGACACCACTTATTTTCAATGTTATAGCAATGCCTGACACAGAGTATGGCCTCAGTACACATTTATTTGTTGCTTAATTGTGGTCCATTGTTAGTTAGGCCCATTATTGCTTGGTAATTCTTGTACAAAAACTATAGAGTCAAAGCAACCCTGAATTAAGTAAAGGGTCCTGAAACCTTCTTCGAGATCCTCAAGCTTCTAGAAGAGTCCACAGCAGTGATAACGAGGTGGCTGCTCGGGGGGCAGGACTGCCTGGCGGGTAAACACATGGCTCTGCGGCTAGAGAACCTGTGCCCGGTCCTGGCTTTGGCACTTGTTAAGTGATCTTGGTCCAGTTACTTAATATCTTTCTAAGGTTCAATCTTTCTCATATGTAAAAATTGTAATAATAGTAATATTTTCCTAATAGAGTTGCTGTGAAGATTGAATGAGGTCATGCTTAGAAGCACATAACAAGTACTCAGTAAATCAAAAAATCCTTCCAAACTGATCACGAGCTTTCTGTTTCTTCTGAAGTTACTGCAGCATTTTCAGATGGAAATGTTTTGTGTATGGTGGTATTCAGGGGGCTAGTGACACGTAAAGTCTGATCTTTTCATCTTTTTCTAGATGATTGTACCACATGTAAATAAATGAATTAAGTACAGCTGTGCCTCAGATTCTCTCCAGGACACTCACAATATGTGCTGGTCCTCAGGTTCCATGAGCTATGGTCATGCTCTGATTAGTTTCCCCCGGGAAAAGGTTCAGTTCCTAATTTTCTCGTTTCTATTACAGTTTTACACCTGCAGTAGAACTCAGAGAAAGAGGAAAGAAAGGCAAAGCTGTTCACTTTGCTGAAATTGATGGTCCAGCTTCAGACAGGTAGCTTAACTTAGCACCATGGCAGTGTTGCTGATAGCACCTCTCAGCAGAATGGCTTAAGCCTCTGCAGACTCTAAGAAAATATCATTCCCGTCATCCTAGGTTGAAATGCAAATAGCCATCAAGGAAGGAACATGCACTATTTCACAGTTATGGTGGGAGTTACAATCATCCCAATGATGTATCCCTGTGATAATTCGGCTATTAGCAAATTTTCAGCTTCTTTAAAAAAAAATCTGAAAATGATAGCTATGCCAAAAATAGATGATTTAAATGATCTATTTTGGATCAAATTGGTATTTACCTTTTATGTAAGGCAGTGTGCATTCCTCCTACCCCTAGCATAGTAAATATAATGTTTAATAAAATGTATTCCAAAATGATCCTACATTAAATGAAACCCACACATGACACTCAGGGTCTCCTTACTATATAGTAAACACCCCATGTGCCTCAGGGTAGATAAAATACAACTAAAACCTTTCAAAGCACTACTATAGACTGTTATATCCCCAAAACAGGTTGACAGATAAAAGGTTTGCTTTAAGAGACGACAAGTCACCCAAAGGCTTAGAGAAACGAAGTCAGCAGGGCAATGTTACACTCCTCGATGCTAAATGTGAGTAACTGCTTCATCATCCTTACATGTATTACCTGGTGTCAACCTCTAAGGCAGCTCTTTGTCCCTCTTTCAATTGTCCATCTTCTCTCCTTTCAGATGTTGCTTTGCTTTTGCTACAAGATACTGAGATGCAGCATATCTGTTCTTTTACAACATTTCTGAGGTAGGTAATGCTTGTGAGACATTTTAGATCTTTTATCCTTTATTTTGAAATCATCCCATCTAATAAGTGATGACAAATCTGATCTTTGGAGAAAGGGCTGGCTCTATGCAAGCCATTCTCTCAGGATTCAGTTTCCAAGACTGAGACCAAAGAGAGGAAGCCAGAAGTTACAGGAGCCCCCAATAAAGTCCAGGGCAAGGAGTATGGTGAGCACGTCATCAGAGTCCCATTGAGACTGCGCTATGTATGTGTTGGTTCAAGGGTACACTCGTTTACTGAAGATCAGTTTTCTCCACTAGTTAGGTTTGGTTAGTTTTCTCCACTAGTTAGGTTTGGTTAGTTTTCTCCACTAGTTAGGTTTGGTTAGTTTTCTCCACTAGTTAGCCCCAACAAGTACTAGGTGTGTGACTCTGGGGCAGCTTTGGGATCTTCCCGAGCCTCAGTTTCCTTGGATACAAAATTGGAAGTAATGGTGTCTCCACGTGGCTGTACGTGGAAGGTGCTTCTCCTGGCAGCTGCGCTTGTAAGTGCTCAGTGGGAGTTGGGTATCCTATGCTGTGGGCAGCGCTCACAGACTCCCTCAGCATTCAGTAAAGGCCGCATCTGGCAAACACCTGAGATTCTCTGCCTGAAGCTTTATTCTATGGCAGGAGCACACTCAGCCTGCCTGCAGGGCTACAGGACAAGCTTGGGGCACTAGGAAGTCAGTGCCCGAGAAGCAGCCTCCAATCAGTGATATGCTGGAGGGAAAGTTGGTAGATAAATATCCCAGCTTCCATCTGTCAGGATAACTCTAAGTTTTCTACGCTGTCTCCTAGAGTCCCTCATGGTACTGAACTACATTGGTCCACAGTGATAACGAACCTGTTAACACCACCTTTCCATCTCACCTCCCCACTCCCCTACTGATGTTTCTTGTGATCACTTCCTAGTAAACTACTTACTCGCAAATCTGTCTCATGGTGTGTTTCTGGGAGAACCCAACCTAGGACAGGTAGTTATCAATACTGTGAAAAAAAAGTCTGCAATGCTCATCTTCATCCTGCTCTCAAGGTATGGTTAAGGAATGCATGCCAGAGTAAGAATTTCCGTTTGGGGTTAGAAAGGAAGCAGCAAAAATCTTGTAAGAATATTTAGAAAGAAAACAAAGCCTTCTAGTTTTAAAACAAATGATATAGGATTGTAAATCGATGCAGTCTTTTTGGAGAGCAAAACTTATGAAACTTTAATGTGCAGATATTCTATGTCCTAGCAATTTCACTTCTAGGAAGTTACTCAGAGATGTGGCTATAAGAATAATTACTGCAGCAATGTCTATAATATTTTTAAAAAACCCAAATATCCATCAGTAGAGGATTAGTTAAATAAATTATGAGCTATAGCATACTTTATCCACCTGTTTAAAAAAGTGAGGAAAATCTATACATGGTATCATGGAAAGAGGTCCATGTTACACAGGTAAGTGACAGAAGCAAGTTGCAAAGACTTGTATATACCGCATTATCCCATTTGTTACCAAAAAAAAAAAAAGTAAGGCATATATTCATGCATATGTATGTGTGCTGGTGGGGGAGGACCTTATATGTGATTGCCTATGCTCTAGAAGGTTTAGGACGGATTCATGCCAAACTCTTAACAGTGGCTACCACTAAGGAGTAGGATAGTGACAAAGGAGTGAGGGGAGAGTCTTTTTACTTGTTACATTTGTGTACTTTTTTTTTTTTTTTTTTTGCGGTACGTGGGCCTCTCACTGTTGTGGCCTCTCCCGTTGAGGAGCACAGGCTCTGGACGCGCAGGCTCAGCGGCCATGGCTCACGGGCTCAGCCGCTCCGCGGCATGTGTGATCTTCCCGGACCGGGGCACGAACCCGTGTCCCTTGCATCGACAGGCGGACTCTCAACCACTGCGCCACCAGGAAAGCCCACATTTGTGTACATTTTTTAAACAACAACAAAAAATTACCTGTATTATAAAAACACTTTAAAAATGAAAACTAATTGGTAAGCAAAACTATAATTCAGTTGTGACCTCTCAAAAAATTTTGTTTATGAAAATCAGGTTTCTTATATCTTCAACAGTTATAGTAGATAGAATTTTAAATGGTAAATTAGTTGTGTGATGGGTATGGTAACATGTGTTTCTACTTATTCTTGTGTGCCCATATTTTTTTTATGACAAGCTTTATGTTTGAAATATGTTTTCATTATTTTCTTTTAATCTCCCCATAGGAATAAGAATCTTGACGATTTCCTCATGGCATTGTTGTACTATTTATATTATTACTTGGAAAAAATCTCACAGGAAAAGAAACCCAAAAGCTGTGTGGTGTAAGTAGAATTTTGTAGTGTACTTTATTTTTATTGATTGATTTATTTATTTTTGGCCATGCCACGCAGCTTCCGGGATGTTAGTTCCCCAACCTGGGATCGAACCCGGAGCCCTGGCAGTGAAAGCACCGAGTCCTAACCACTGGACTGCCAGGGAATTCCCTGTAGTGCACTTTAAAGCTTTATCACTGCCAGTATTAAAACTAACTTTTGTCTAGGGTAAAGAGATGATGGAAATTTAAAAATCTTGGAGTATGCTAAAACATTTTACAGGGAGGGGTTCACCAGTTTTAAGGCTCACTGAATAATTCAGATGGGTATTCTGTTAACTAAATATTGCAAATAATATAGACCAGCACTGCCCAATAGAGGAGTATGCCCAATATGTGAGAGCCATATATGTAATTTAAACTTTTCTGATGCCATATTTTTAAAATGTAAAGATACATGTGAAATTAATTTTAACAAGATATCTTATTTAACCCAATGACTCAAAAATATTATCATTGCAACCTGTAGTCAATACTAGGAAGTTATTGATGAAATACTTTACTTTTTTGTAGTAAGTGTTTGAAATGGTGTCTATTTTACAAATACAATATACCTCAATTTAGACTAGCCACAGTCAGTGCTCAGTAGCTACATGTGGCTCACAGCTACCATATTGGACAGTGCAGATAGAGATATTGTTTCTGTGTTTGTCTTGCTTACAAAGTTCTTGCTAAAGGCTTTGTAAGCATCTAATGAAAAAAACTAAGAATTTAAAAAATTAACAGATATGACCAAAATGATATTACATATCATAGAAGAAAACGACTTCTTAGGCTACATGTGAAGAATTTAATCACTTTAGGTGGAGGTGGCTCGGAGCTATACAGGGCAAGAATCTGGGAACTCAGAGTCCAGAGCAGAACAATGCCTCTCAGGCTTGGTGACCTTTGCAAGCCATGGAACTTTCCCAGTGCCCAGGCTGCCCTCCCCAGTATATTTGGAACCGACCCAGTGATTTTGCTGTTAGGAATGCTGGATAGAATCATCAATTTGTTGTTGTAGAATGTTTTCAAAATGCAAAATCCTTGCATATAAACAAGCAGTTTGAAAAATTTTGTGGATAGATAAATGTCTTGGGATAGCAGTTTTGTAAAGAACCAAATAAATAATTCAAACACTACTACTACAGTAAAGCCATTATAATATGCAACATCTAGCAGAGCAGCCAGAGAACATGAAGTGTTTCTGTGGTAGCAAGCAAATGGGCTCAAGCCAGCTGTGGGCTCAGAAGGTTTGAGGAGTCTTAACTATTTCCAAAGAAGAAATTTATTAGATTTTGATAGCATATTAGCTTATATTTTGTATGTTTTTTTCTAATTCTGTGGATTGTTGCTAATCAAGCAGAGACGTTGGGGGGGGCGGGATGAATTGGGAGATTGGGATTGACATACATACACTCTTGATACTATGTATAAAATAGATAACTAATGAGAACCTACTGTATAGCTCAGGGAACTCTACTCAGTGTCCTGTGGTGACATAAATGGGAAGGAAATCCAAAAAAGAGGGGATATGAGTATATGTATAGCTGATTCACTTTGCTGAACAGTAGAAACTAACACAATATTGTAAGGCAACTATACTCCAATAAAAATTTTTTTAAAAAGCAAAGACATTGTTTAATTTCTTAATTTATAGAAATAGATAACAGAAGAAAGGTTTCTTAGTTATTTTAAAAATATACTAAAGGGCTTCCCTGATGGCGCAGTGGTTAAGAGTCCGCCTGCCAATGCAGGGGACACGAGTTTGAGCCCTGGTCTGGGAAGATCCCACACGCTGCGGGGCAGCTAAGCCCGCGTGCCACAACTACTGAAGCCCACGCACCTAGAGCCCATGCTCCGCAACAAAAGAAGCCACCGCAATGAGAAGCCTGTGCACCGCAACGAAGAGTAGCCCTTGCTCGCCACAACTAGAGAAAGCCCGCACACAGCAACGAAGACAAAATGCAGCCATAAATAAATTTTAAAAATTATTAAAAAATAATAAAATAAAATATACTAAAAATTATTAGAACCCAGTGATATATGGTAGACTTTCATGGAAGGAATCAGTTACAGAATGACAAAGAAAAATCCAAGCCTTAAAATTAATGGTTCTGTGGTGTGATTCTAAAAAAAGCATAACAACTTTTCATTTTCAAGCTTCCAGTAGTCAGTTGGTTTATTTATTATAATAGAAACAAATATAAATTACATTGAGATATCTGGATATAAATAACTTTAAGAAAAAAATTAATTTCCGTCAAAATAGTGAGGTATAACATAGGGATAATAGTAGCATTCACTTTACAGTTATTGTCCAGATTAGATGAGTTAATGCATATTATCTTAGCCTAGTGGTTGGCCCTTGGAAGGAAAGCCTATAACCTGTGAGAGGAGAGCAGGAAGAGTTACAGAAGGATATTAAAGATACACTTTGATGGTCTTAGATGACTACATGCCCTAATTCCAGAAGAAAAAACCTTATCCCCATTTAACAGATGATGAAACTAAGGCTCAGAGAGGTTAAATGGCTGTTGTACATGCCAAGTTAGTGATGGAGCTGAGGCTAGAATCCAGGTCTCTAACTCCAAAGTCTCTGCCTAAACCACTGTGTGGTGTCCCCACATCCCTTACCAATGAACTCGGCTCTCTGTCCCTGAGTTTATCCATTTGTAATTAGGACTTACAGCTTCTGAACAAAGGTACAATTATGTATGCAGTTTTAAACATCATAAGTATTTTCAAGTTATTACAATCGTAATCATAATTTTTAATGGTGGCATAACTTTCCATCAAGCTACTGTATGTTAATAACTTATTGACCTACCTATTAAGAAGCAATGTAGTATAGTGGTTAAGGGTACAGACTTTGGTGCCTGGCTTCAGTCCCACGGGGGGACTCATATGTTAGGTTAATGTCAAATCCTTAAATAGTACTCGGCTCTATTACTACAGCCTGTATTACTACTCCTATTATCCCTCTATTTTATATATTTTGGGAGTCTCCAGTTTTTCTGATAGTCAAATAGATAAATAATAATGGCATTGAATATCTTCATGCATTAGATTTCTCCCCTAACTTTGGATGATCTTTTACAAAGAATAAATTTCCAGGAGAGATTATTGGATCAAAGTTTATGACCAATTGTATGGCACTTGAAATTATTACTAAAAATTTTTCCAAAGGGTTATACCTGGGTTTATTTATTTATTTTTTTTTTCTTCTTTGCGGTACGCGGGCCTCTCACTGTTGTGGCCTCTCCCGTTGCGGAGCAACAGGCTCCGGACGCGCAGGCTCAGCGGCCATGGCTCACGGGCCCAGCCGCTCCGCGGCATGTGGGTGCTTCCCGGACCGGGGCACGAACCCGTGTCCCCTGCATCGGCAGGCGGACTCTCAACCACTGCGCCACCAGGGAAGCCCCCTGTGTTTATTTTAAATGCCAGGCTCTACCCAGACCTACTGAACCAAAATCTGAAAGAGAGGTTGCCCTTGGGAATTTGCACTTTTAGCAAATACCCCAGGCAATTCTTACATATATTAAAACTTGAGAACCATTGGCGGAAACGTTTCAAAGCATTTCTTCGTTGTTGTTTGGTTTGCTTTGTTTTCAACAGCAAAAGAAGAGATTAACTATAGGCAGGTCTGGCAAAGCAGGGGTGAGGATGAGGGAAGGCAACAGGGAGGCAGGCACAGTGATGGTCACCGGGGTGCTCGTGGGTGTGTGTGTTGGGTTTATATGATATTTGGGCATTTAAAGTTGGAACCCACCTTATCTATTCCAGAAACTCATTTTATTCCAATTACTCACAGGTCTTCTCACCACAGTGATAATGTTTTGTACTTTGAAACATCTGTATTATCCTTAAACCCACCACCTTTCCCCACAGCTTATCCTCATGCAGTCAGTCTAGTGGTTAACATCAGAAGGGGCAGGTTGTCTTTCTTGTTTAGAGTGCATTTCGTTTGGCTTTTATCTTTCTGAAAATAAAAAGGCAGGGACAAAGTTAGTGACACATCATTTTTCAATAGCAATCATTGGAATGTATTGTCGGCAATGTTTCCTACTGTACTGTACAGCAAAAATGTCTAAAATTAGGCTTCAGACATGCTGTAACCTAAAAACAGGTTGCCTTTTAGAAAGTACATTTGCAATTCAATTGGAACTGGGGCTGTGTTTTCACAGGGAAGCAAGGTGATTGTAGTTGATGCCAGAGTTCCCAGAGTGGTATTCCACAGATGCCTCCTTAGCAAACACAGAACTGAGGGTGGACAAACATCGAGTAGTTCAAACATGGAGCCCCCGAACTTAGTAATAACATCAGAAACCCAGGGGAAGCTAAGGTGGGAAAGAGTCTCCATGGCTGTTTTAGCAAAACAGCAGGAAAATTGGCTGCTAACTGCCACAGAAACTAGTATAGAGAATTTGTTAGTTGAGCTGTTCTATATAAATTAGGACTTCCTGTGTATAAAATTGAGGATACATATACAATTTATAAAGAATCTATTAAAAAAGTGAATATTCAGCATAAACTTGAGATGCTGATTACAATGATAAATATCAAAGGGCTTTGAGGAACTTTCTCTGCCACAGCTTAAATAAAATAAATGAAATGATAAGTGAGGTGTGTTGACTCAGGTTTCTTTCAAAATAGTTTATACTTCTGACTTTTTACTAATTAATATAGACATTTGCCAACATTAATCCAGATTATTGTTTTTCTTTTCAGGGGCCTTGTAGAGAAAAAAGAGATGGAATTGGTTATCAGTAAGCTAGAAGCAGCACAGAAATACTTGGCACAGGAGTACTGTGTCCTCGTCCTGGGCCTGGGAATGCCTGATAAGCATCACATGTGCTGTGGAAAGTAAGTCCCCACTTAGGATTTCGCTAGATCTTCACTTGTGTGTAGATCCACATCCTTACAACCCTCAGCTTTGACTTCTGGTGCCCCTGAGAAAGGTTCCTTTTTTGTTGTACAGAATCACTGGCCTCAGCTGAGACTCTGTCCCAAACACATGTGACGTCTTGTTTGAGAGAGCCAAATGAGTATAGGAAGAATCCCAGAATCTTGGCTGAAATATTTTTTTCTTTTTTCAAATTAAAGTTGATTTACAATATCGTGTTAGTTTCAGGTGTGGCAGATGTTTTAACAACCTTCTACTATTTGGGTATAAATTTCTCTCAGGTTATATCAGTTCAATGAAATCTTGCTTTCTGCCAGGAAGGCTTCTTGCTGTCCGACAAGGGCCACTTGGCTGCGTTGGGCAGGAGGCCGAGTGATGGGCCAGTGTTGAAGCGGGTATTGGGTGTGTCCCCTCCCCTTCTGCTGCTTGTTTTGCAGCAACAGTTGTGGGTATAAGTGCGTAAGGTGGGAGTTGTAAGATGACCCTGTTTGTGGGAAGGCAATTTTTACCTTAGGATAACAGTTCATACACTACTGTAATTAAAATTTTAAAGTGTCTTATCACAGGAAAGTTCGGGTTCACAGGAGAGAAAACTCCAATCCTTAACCCAAAATCTCCTTCTCTTAAGTAGTAGTTTCACAACAGGCTCAAGATCCATGCCATGGTCATGGCCGGACCTTTTACATTTTTTAAAAACTTCATTGGAAAAGAACCCAATACATGATTTCTCTCTCTCCACATTCCCCCACATTTTCAAAATACAAATATTTGTATTGTACATACTTTTCTGTGTTCCACATTTTTTCTGTGTACCTTCTTCTATTATTCTGCTTATATAATCTCACCTACCACTTTGAATAACAACTGTAGTCATTCTGTTGTATAATATACCAGTTTGCTTAACCATTCCTCTTGTGTACATCTGTGTGCTTTCCGTTTTTCTGCTTTCTAATGTTTTTGCATTGAATATCTTTATATAAATAACTTTGTTCATTTGGGCTGTTTACTTATGGCTTATTACCCAGAATGCACTTATCTGGAAGGCATGAACAATTTTATAGCTCTTGTTACATATTGCCAGATTGTCCTTTAAAAAGGTTAAAACATTCTTTATCACCATAAGCAATAAGCATACTTGTTTTTATTAGTTTAGTATTTTTGATAGCTTAAAGGTATATAAAAATCTTAAGGATATTTTATTTGACTGAATATTTTTCATGACTACAGAGTTTGTGTTCTTTTTTTGTGTACAATAATTTATTGCCTGTTCCTCCTCTAGTTTTAACCATCTATCAAGTGGAAACTGGGAATTTGTATAATTTATATTTCATATAGCAAGGATTGGTTACTTGTTTTTTCTAGTTTGTTGCTTTCATTTTGATATTTACGTTTTTACACATTATGAAAATGTTTTAAGTTTTTATTTATTTGAACATTTCCACCTTGTTTCTGATGCTATTCAATAGTCATACAAGTTCTTGCATTCCTGGGTTCATTCTGTTCATTTCCAGGCTAAACTCCTCACCTTTCTTTCTTAGTTTTTAAAAATAGGATTAAAGGGCTTCCCTGGTGGCACAGTGGTTGAGAGTCTGCCTGCCGATGCCGGGACACGGGTTCGTGCCCCGGTCTGGGAAGATCCCACAAGCTGCGGAGTGGCTGGGCCCGTGAGCCATGGCCACTGAGCCTGCGCGTCCGGAGCTTGGGCTCCGCAGCGGGAGAGGCCACAACAGTGAGAGGCCCGTGTACCGGAAAAAAAAAAAAAAAAAAGGATTAAAAAAAAAAAGCTTTGATCCATTTGAAATTTGTTATATCTGATCAGATGAGCTATGAATCTAAGATATTTTTTCTTTACTAATAGCCAACTTTCCTGTAATATTTATTAGTGATTTTTTCCACTGTAACATTTCTTGTTTATTAGATGTTGAATTTTTCTAATATTTTAACCCATTTTAGGGAATTCCTATTGAATTTTTTTGATTAGTTTTTCTCTTTTAAACATCAGAACTATACAGCTTGTATTTTGCTTTGCTTTATTCAACAAACATTATTGCTCTGTGGTAATCGTGGTGCTAAGTGCCAGGGTACAAGGAAAATGGTCTCTCCTTTCAAGGAGCATACAGTCTATTGGAGGAGTCATCAGGTAAGGAGACCAGTGACTGTTGCAATAGAGGTATAGACAGAGATTGGGCACCCAAAGCAGGAAAGGCGAGGAGCAGTGGACCTCAGGGAGTGCAGGCAGTGAGCTGGGCTGGAAAGGAGGTGATTTAGCTGAAAACAAGTACTCACTCGTATTACCTCCAGAAACCTTATATTTGGTGATCTTGCCTATTTGAGATCAATTTCACTATTAATCAAGTTCTAAGCAATATCTACCAAGAACCTTTTATTGTTTATTGTATTAAGACCTATACTTTAGCTTAGGAAATAGTGTCATCTTTGCTATATTGAATCCTCTCAAAGAGCTGTAAGTTGTATTCTCCATTTATTCATATTGTTCTTTATTTTGTCCATTAAAGTTTTACATAGTAATCGTTAAAGAAATTTGTGTGGTCCTAAATTAGATTAGCACTTATGTATTCACGTAATCAATTTTTTAAATACCAATGTGAAGTTTGGGTTTATTTATTTGTTTTTAATTGTATAAGTACTTCATGAACATATCCTAAGGGTAAAAAATTTAAATAGTTATGTATATAGTTTATAGTTAGTATTGTAGAGTTAAAAGTTAAAGTCTCCTACTTCCTCCACCATCCTTCAATATCAATCTCTCCCCAGAAGTAAGTACTGTTACTTCTGGCTCGATGTATGTCCTCTTGGTTTTCTATCCAATTATACATATGCACTTACATTGTTGTTAAATACATCGGATTAATGCTATGTTGTCATTTTGAAATGTGCTTTTTTCACTTATAAATCTTGGATATTTTTGAAGATTAATACACATAGATCTACCATATTCTTTTTTAAAAGTTAAAGTCTCCTACTTCCTCCATTGTCCTTCAATATCAATCTCTCCCCAGAAGAGAGATCCCCACATAGATCTACCATATTCTTTTTTAAAAATGGAATAGTTCTTCAACCATGGATATTACGGACTTATTATCATTAACTGATTATTTCCCTGTTGATGCATGTTTGGTAATATATTTTTGATGACAAAAATATATAAGAATGCATTTGGTTTTATCAGTTTATGTCATAACCAATGACACACATGTTAAACACATTTCCTGCCTATGTAAAATTTTAATTTATCTCCTAGGATTTTCTAGGTATATAATCATATCATCTGTAAAAGGTAGTTTTTAATTTCATTTTTTCCTAGAGTCATATTTAAAATTTTTAATTAGCTATAGTAGCAGCATTTCCTGTATCTAATACCATTAAAGAAGTGACTGAAGTCAACCTTATTTTTTTTCTGTTATAAAAGAGAATAAGCTAGCACATGCTATTTACTTATTGTACTGACCCTTAGTTTAAGTGATGAATTATTTATCATGTCGAGAAAATAACTCCTTGTTTCCCTATATGTTCAAAAATAGTTTTGTTTTTCTTTTTATAAAATTAATGCATAGTCGTGTACAATAATTAATCAATACATAAAAAGGAAAGGGTAAATCTGTTGTCAACAGTTCATTTATTATCCTTTCAGACATCTCTATATGCACACCCAGACACACAATTTTACATAAATAAATAGAATTTATTATTCTATAACATTACACCTGTAAAATATACCCAATAACATACTTAATAGACCAGCTGTGAAAATTACATGATATAATACATAGAAAACACTTAGACCCATCCTTGGCACATACTATGTATTCAGTAAAGTTAGTTATTATTATTCCTTTTTTGTTGTTATTACTGTTATTGCTATTAATCTGTGGAATTTGGTAGTAAACATAACTCTACAACATCATCTTTAATGGCTTCCTGGTATTCCAAATATATTTAACTTATTGATGAACAGTTGGAATATTTCCTTTTTAAATATTAGGAATAACACTGCAATGAACTTTCTTATACCTATATTTGATGTACTTGTCTAGTTTGTCCTAAAGATAAATTTTTTACAGTAGAATTCCCGGGTCAAAGAGAATGCGTATTTAAATATGATGTATATGTTTAAATTTTGAAAGTCCTGTTCAAGAATAGATGTTACTATGGACAAGAAAATAAATGGAAAAACAGATAATTTGTTAGAGTAAAGGGACTATGGGCGATTTAAAAAGTGCCTTGCATTATGGAGGACTTCCCTGGTGGCACAGTGGTTAAGAATCCACCTGCCAATACAGGGGATACGGGTTCGATCCCTGGTCCAGGAAGATCCCACATGCCACGCAGCAGCTAAGCCTGTGCAGCACAGCTATTGAGCCTGCACTCTAGAGCCCGCGAGCCAGAACTACTGAGCCCGCGTGCCACAACTACTGAAGCCCGTGCGCCTAGAGCCCGTGCTCTGCAACAAGAGAAGCCACCGCAATGAGAAGCCGGTGCACTGCAACAAAGAGTATCCCCCACTCGCTGAAACTAGAGAAAGCCCATGCGCAGCAACAAAGACCCAACACAGCCAAAAAAAAAAAAAAAAAAAAAGTGCCTTGCATTATCAAACAAGTTGTTGCATCTTTTGAGACCTAGACTATGATATTTACTGTTTTCCTGTTCTCTCTTAAGGTTGTATGATTTGTCCCCACTGCTTTGTTATAGTTTGAGAATCTAAAACGCTTAATGAAATTCTATATTATACTTTGCTGTTCTCACCTGGTTTTTCCAATTTATTTTACTTTATTTTTTATCATTACCATTAACCTTTACTAAACATTTTACTCTATCTGCATTTTAATGTCTTTCATGTGAGTGTGGATTTCTACCCTTTCATGTAGTGAACTTTATAACAATTCCACATGGTTCAATTTTTTCTTTTTTCAATTTTTCTGAGTCTTGAAACCTTTTCCTT